GGGCGGACTGGCTATTCGGGAAAACCTCTGCTGCTGATGTCGCCAAGATGTTGGTGACCAGCTCAAAATCACAGGGGGCTGGGGGCAGCTGCAGTGGTGACGGGATCCAGATGATTGGGGTATCGCTTTTCCGGGGGGTAATAATTCCTTCAAAAAATAATAATAAATAAATTAGTCACTCAACCCATGGTTGCTTGTGGGACACTGCTGTGCGCAATTGGCTGCCGCATTTCGCCCACAAAATATACAGTCAATTCACGTTACAGTATATTCTGTGAAGCACTTTGAGACGTCTCAAGGACGTGATAAGGCACTATATCAAATGCAAAGGTTATTATTAGTATTATATACCACCACCAACAGCAACGAATTGCATTTATATAGTGCCTTTCATATTGGGAGGACGTCCCAAGGCGCTGGATATGGGAAGACATTTTGAGAGTCTCTGAAATAATGAAGGAAAGCTGGAATGTTTTGTCTAAAGCTTCCCGTAAAGTTGACTGTTGTATCTGTATTTCTCCTCTTTAAAGTGTAAAGATTTGATTCCTGAAGCAAATGAAGTTCTACAAGAAGCAGATCACTGTTCTAGAACTTCCAGAAAGGGCAAGTTTCCAGTGATAGGCATTGAAGGACTTGATGCAACAGGTGAGAAATAATGCAGGTATTATTTTACACAAGTATTAGTAATAGTCTAATCTCTTTAACAGAAAAGCAGGGAATTAAGTTCAATGGTTACAAGGAGGGATGGTTGCGGCCAGGACATTGACTGTATTTAAGAAATAGTTTGATCCTGTGACAGGAGGAGGTAGGTTGGGTTTTCTGGAAGGAATTGTAGTGTCTGACTGAGATCAGATAACTCAGCACAAATCAGGATTGAACCTGGGACCTTACTCATTTGTGTGGCTCAGTAAAACTCAGCCTTTTAACAGTTCTGTTACATATATTGTCAGAATAATTGCTTTCATATTTTGACAACATAAATCATAATTTTGAAATAAATGTTCTATTGCTAGAGAATATAGACTCCTTCCACTAAACAAGATGGGGCTGCACTGTGTGTCTACACCAATCTGTGCCTTTTCTTACTGTAATGCAGTGAACTGATCAGGGGAGCTGCAAATCTTTTTTCAATAAGGTTTTATGTTATGGCCTTTAATCTTTGACCTTTGTTTGCATGAACTACAGGGAAAAGTACTCTGACCGAGTCGCTAAGGGAATCTTTCAAGGCAGTGCTTTTAAAGTCTCCACCAGACTGCATTGGGCGCTACAGAAAACGTTTTGACACAGAACCACCCCTCATTCGACGGGCCTTTTATGCTTTAGGCAATTACATTACTGCTTCATTCATAGCAAATAAATCCGCAACATCTCCAGTGATCGTAGATCGGTAAGTATAACTTCCAATGGTGTCTAGTGATTGTAGTCAACCATCAGTGCATGACTATGATCATTATTGCTATCAGTGTATGACTGTCAATGACGTCTAGTAACGATTTCTCAGGCTATCGCTTTAAGTGATATCTAGTATTAGTGTCTCCATGAATGACTTTCAGTGATATCTAGTAACAAGTTGATTGTCTACAAATTTCACAAATCTCTATTGATTGTGCATGACATTCAGCATACATTATACATTAAAACATACATTATACATACATTATACAGCATACATTCATTAAATGCAGCATTCTAATCTTCAGGACACTTAAGCGGTATGGAACTGCTTTAATAGTCTGCCAGCATGGTTATCGAGTCAATTAATGTACTACTGCCATTAAAGTCAGTCGGGAGTTTCAACTCACTAGTTCAGAAATGGTGCCACTGGTTTTGGAGATCGAAAGCTAAACAAAATAATCAGAATTATAAAACTTCTCATTACATAGTGAGGACAGTAAACTGGAAATATTCACACCTCTGAGTGCAAACGTGCAGGGTTGATCCAGCATTTTTTCCCTTGGCAAGTTTCTGCTTCATGCATCAAAGAAAGAAGCAGTGTTGGAAGAAAATATGGTTCAACTTTTGCATATTTGATACACTAATTCTGCTAAATTGAGTTCTTGTTTGCTCTCATTTATTTGATTGCATCTATTCTAAAGCAAATTTCTGCACAAACCACAGAAGCAATTCACAGAAACAGAATAATTAGCGTATAATTACTAGGTATTTTATATGCACACAAAATGTTTTCAATGAATGATGAAAGTCAGATTTGAAATTTGTTGATAAACTGTAGCAGCTCTCATTTTAAAATTACAACTTTCATTTTAGTATGTGCCCACATTAAATGCCCTGTCTTATTTGTTAACATGCAAATTCAGATACGAATGTATCTAATAATGTTTCTCTCTTCTGTTCCCAGACATTTGCATGTAAAGAGGCAACTCTATTTTTAATGTTATTATTGCAATGAGTTTCTTTTTCTTGTAACTGGCCACTCTGCGTGATGTACAGGGACTGAATTCCGTTTTGTCACAGTAGAGTTATCACAGATTGATTAGAATTCTAACAGAATTTCTTATTCAGGAATGATAAAGGCCAAGATAGGCCAGCCTTTAATAAACTATTCTTAACAGTAAGTTTCTGCTGCAGTGTTTGCAATAGAAACATAGAAATGTACAATACTTTGGGTGTTAGCCTGGTTCATGGCTGCTTGCGGGACATGCTGTGTGAAAATTAGCTGTCACGTTCACCTATAAAATACACAACCATTACACTTCAAAGTATATCCTTTGAAGTGCTTTGAGATGTCATCCCCATGTGAAAGAAGCTATATGAAATGTAAGGTTTATTAACACAGTAGGAGGTCTTTTGGCCTATTATTTTATGTCAGCGTTTGTTCCTCCATGAAGCCATCCATCCTAATTCTGATTCCGATCTTTTTTCCATACCCTTAAATCTTTTCCACTGCTTGTCCAATTGAAAATGCCCAAATGATTCTGGTTTAACAGATACCACTAGCAAATCATTCTATACCCTGTTAACCCTCTGGGAAAGGAAGTTCTTCTAAACCCCTCCTTTTATTTCTCTTGTCACAATCCTGAAATCATGTCCTCTTGACCTCAAATTGTCTACCAGCGGAGTTTTTCCACAATTAATGCTCTTAAACCCTTTAATTATCTTACATATAATATCTTTCAAGTAATCATCTGCCATTGTTATATATATTTAGAGAAGCACCTTAAGGTATATCCTGTGAAGCTCTTTGAGATGTCTTGACCATATATTAAGATGTTAGATCAGTTCCAAGGATTATTTTTATTATTATTAGAACAAGAACAATCCCAACATTTATGATCCCTAAAGCACAACATTAACTACTGTCTGCCAATTGGTAAACCTTGTTTACTTCCCACTCTGCCACCTGTCCACCCTCCTAAGTATTCTAATATGCTACTTACATGAAGCGTGTTGTATAAATGCAAGTTGTTATTGTTTTGTCCTTCAATATTTCCTCTTTCCACTGATCTACATTATTATTACACCAGTGTAAAATATTCTAATTGGGAATTACTTGGAACAGAAAATATTACTCCTAAAATTTTCTAGCTCTTGACATAAGAATTAATGTGTGTTAAGGATCTGAAATGTTCTGTTATTATCCAGGTACTGGCATAGCACAGCAGCATACGCGATTGCAACTGAAGTCAGTGGCAAGGCAGAAAATCTTCCTCCTCCACACCATGAATTGTACCAGTGGCCGCTGGATTTGCTGCAACCAGATTTAGTGCTGCTCCTCACACTCAGCCCGGAGGAGAGAATCCGCCGCATAGAGGGAAGAGGGGAGCAGAAGACAAAGGAAGAGATGGAGCTGGAGGCAAACTGTCTATTTCGTCAAAGGTAAAGAGCTGTTGCTTAATATCAATGTGCAACAGTGTATTCTGCTTTTATTGAGTCATTTTGGTTGTTTGTGGGACATTGCTGTGCACAAAAGTAGCTGCCAGGTTCGCCCACAAAATACGCAGTCACTCCACTTTACAGTATATCCTGTGAAATGCTTTGAGATGTCTTCCTGACATGAAAGCTGATAAGTCAAATGCCAGGATTATTATTATTATCATTACAATCATAATTCTTTGTGTGCCACCAGAATGCAAACGTTTACAGGATTTGATTTTTTGTTCTTTAGAAGCTATCAATTAGTTTCAGCACAATAAAACAGACATCAAAATTAAAATTAAAAACTCTCAAACAATGCAGTGAATTCTGTGTCGATACCTTTAAAAAGAATTAGGTTTTATACCTGGTTAGGATTACAAGGCTAATTACAGATACAGAGAATCAAAGGTTCTCTGGAATGTGATGATTTATGAGTTGCTGAATCCAAGGAAATATGCCAAGCAACTGACCTTGGATGTTTAATGGAGCATGTAGATTAGATATTTAATCTAGAGTATATTTGATTTACCTTTGTGTGTGTTTGGCCAGGGCGAGAAGAATTGCAGCCAGGCCTGATTCTGAATGGCCTTTTCTCAATCCATCCTTTATTTTCCTTGCAAGCAAATGAATAGCAAATGATAAATGTGATCAAAGAGATTAGTTAAAAGTCAAGGGATAAAAGATTAAACTAAGGATTTAATATGTGATTTAAATTTAGTAATTTATAATGTATCAATTCTAAATGTACCTTGATATATTGTAACAAAGGTGAATCCCTTTTGCTCTGAAGCTGTTGTCAAAACATATAATGTTGAAGCCTGGTTGTGCTTTTGACTTCCAGTTTGCAAACTGCAATTAACTAAAGTATGGGATAGCAGCTTACTCTCAGGTTTTTGCTGTTAGTTGTTATCTCTGCAGTTAATCTTGTTATAAAAAAGCAGTACTAAGACTCCAAATCACTTAGTGAAGGATTATCCTCTTCAACAACAACAAATTACATTGTTTTGCCCACAAAATATACAAAAACGTCATTTTACAGTATATTTGTGAGGGCTTTGAGACGCCTCAATGTCGTGACAAGGTGCCATATTAAGTGCGAAGATTATTATTTATATTATTAATCAACAGTACTGTTAATGATCCTCCTTTAAAAATTCACCCCTAATCTTTTGTTCTGCAGGGTGGAAGAAACCTACAAAAGAATGGAGAATCCGGCTTGCGTGTTAGTTGATGCCAGTGCTTCAAAGGAAGAGGTTTTCAAGAATGCTCATCTTCTAATTAAAAGATATTGCAACACTTTGTCTTAAGGGAACTTGACCTTTTAAACTGCATTCAGTTCAAGAGCAATTTGGAAGTTTTACCACTGCTTAAAGCGCTTTGTGGCTTTTAGTACAAATTTAACAACAACATTTTAACATCCTCACCTGGCTACACTAGTTCCCCATCCCTCAGAGGATTGAGTTTAAAATCCTCATCCTCGCTTTTAAAGCCCCCCACTTCCTTCCTCCTCTCTATCTCTGCGACCTATTAACACCATACCAACCTATCTGCTTTCCCTGCTCGGCAGGCAATGGCCCGCCCTGCCAGCCTGAACATTGCAGGTCGGGCTTTCAGCTGTACTGCCCCCACCCTATGAAACTCCATCCCACAATCCCTCCGCCTCGCCCCCTCCCTTGCCTCTGTCAAGGCCCATCTCAAGACTCGTCTGTTTGAACGTGCTTTATCCTAAACAAGTTGGGCTGTTATATGCGGAGTCACTTTAGATACATGCATATTTGCAAAGGCAAACAGAGAATTTCCCAGTTGGCTCCTAGTCAGCAAAATAAAATCCCGGGAACTGAACCGCAAACCGGTTTGGAGACCAAGCCCTTCGATAGACTTCCTTCCTGAATCAATTGGAATTGATAATTTAAACAGCATGTCCAACATCAGCACTTCAATTAAATAATACACTTTGCTCCAATCATTCATTATTATGACCAGAGAAAATTATATAAGTGGGAATAACTCCAAAGTGACAGTTTAGTTATTTTGTAACTAGGCTTTGGCTCCAGTTTGATTCAATTTGCCTTACCTCTGCACTGTACAAATTTAGCTTGTCTGAGTAAGCTATATGTGTATTATGACCAGTAACTTCTGGTGGAGGTAAAGTTTGAATTACAATAACCATTTCAAATCTAGGCCTATAAGCTACTGAATTCCTATTAGCCTCCAAAAATAGCAGCCTGAGTTCCATTTGTTGCATATTAGTCATTGTATTCTACAGGATATCCTGGGAAGAGCTTTGAGGCATTCTCCTGACAAGAAAGCTGCTTACGTCAAATACAAGGTCTATTATTAGAATGTTGTTCTCCCTGAATGCACTGGAAATAATGGTCATCTATTCTTTTCTGGTTAATTGAAAGTCAGTTATATTTTGCAGAGTAAACTACTGAATTTTAACTTTTATAAAGCATTTTACATGGTGCTAGATATGCATGCATAGCTTGCATTTGAACTGCATTGACTATATTCAAATATATGTACTGGTCTGGTATTTGCAAAGGCTTCAAAAGCATTATTATCAGTTAATTTTGTGCACGTCGAAAGTAATAAATGTATCTAAATTCAACCCTGACATTTTATTGTGTACATTCATTCCTGAAATAAATGCCTTTAATCTGCAATGTTCCAGAAATTTATTTAGATTAAAAAGTATATTTGTGAAACTGACTACAGTATTAGGGAATGGAGTTTTGCTGAAAGTACATAAGAGCCTTACTTAAGTTATAAGAACAAAGCAAAATAAAGGATGAAAAAGGTCATCTGAAGCAGTGACACTCATTCCTCCAGTACATTAACTACCCCATCATAACAAATTGTATTTTGAATGTCGCCATGTTGTGTCTCAGTTTCCTTGCTTGGGAAGTGATTGCAAACTTCAGCACTTTGAATAAAATTGTTGCTAATATCCATTCTAAATTTACTGCTTGTATAATGTCAGGAGGACTATTTATAAACAAAACTGATTTGAACACTCAGAACAGTTTTAAAGAACAAGATTTAGCTCTAGTCCAGATTTTCTCCCATCAAATCATTTTGTGATTGATCAAGGTACATTGTATCCGACATTTACTATTAACGTATATACACACAAGGTAAAAATAACCAAGCTGGTGGGCGACCTTCACTCTGCTTTCCCCATAGATTAGAGATAATTGGCACAGCAACTGGAATTCAATGGATGTGGAGTCCTGTAGCTCAGTGGTTAAAGCACTCGCCTTGCAAGCGAGACACCTGGGTTCAATTCCAGGCAGGGTAAGTTTACTTACTCCACACGCCTAATAATAATCCCTCCAAAAAAAAGCAATAATAAATTGGTCATTTTCAATCCACGACTGTTTGTGGGACACTGCTGTGCGCAATTGGCTGTCACGTTTCGCCCACAAATATACAGTCGATTCACTTTACAGCATATTCTGTGAAGCACTTTGAGACGTCGAGAAGATGTGAAAAGCGCTTTATCAAATGCAAGGATTATTATTATTATTATTATGTATTTAAAGGCTTTCACGGTTTTGCCTTTCCCTAACCTATGTCCCCCACTTTGCCCACCCGACCATTGGCAGTCTGGCCTTCAGTCTTTCTGCCCCAAATCTCTGGAATTCCATCCTACATTCCCTTCTCCTCGCCCTTTCGCCTGCCTCCTTAAATGGTCTGTCTCAAGACTTTCATCTTTAACTTCAGGATACAGATTCCTTCATTCATCCCCACCCATCCCAAATCCAAACCCAGCTTGGGTGCAGCCCCTCAACTGTCCAATGCCTTCGAACATCCTACCAATGGGAAAGGCGCTTGCTTTCCTCTTGCTGTGCTGTCTTGGTGCATCTGAAAATATTGTCCTGGGTTTACCTTCTCAATTTTATTCAAAATCCTGTACATTTAAAATCATGTGGAGTCCTGTAGCTTAGTGGTTGGAGCACTTGCCTCGCAAGCGAGAGCATCCGGGTTCGATTCCCGGCAGGGCAAAACGTTGGGCAAGTTTCCTTACTCCACATGCCTGTTTACCAAGCAGTAAGTAGGAACCCAGTTCTCAGTCATTTGGCAGATCGTTTTTCCGGGGGTAACAATTCATTCAAAATAAAGAAAAATAATTTGGTCACTCAATCCATGACTGGTTGTGGGACACAACTGTGTGCAATTGGCTGCCGCATTTTGCCCCAAAAATATACAGTCAATTCACTTTACAGTATTCCGTGAAGCGCTTTGAGACGTCTCGAAGACTTGATCAGGTGCTATTTCAAATGCAAGGATTATTGTTATTATCTTTACAAGATCCCATTTGAGACACTCCTTTCAAGAACTTGGCTTGCCTTTTTGGGCGGTCAGCCTGTTGACTGACTCATGCAAAACCCATAACCAAATCAGATATGTATGCCATTTACAATAGAAATTTTTATTTTTTCTCTTCCTGGAGACAAATAACTACTAGTCCAAAATCTGGAGAATATTAGGCACAGCTTGGCAGGAGCCAATGGTTATCCAAAAGAATCCAAAGCATTTTCATTTTTTTTAAATGTTATTTATTCCTACTTGACAACTTTACAATAAATTGATCTCTATGTTTATCTCTATGTTTATCTACAATAAATAGCTACATATGCTCCGGCTGTTGAATTATACTTTAGCTTATGTGAAGAGGGTGGAAAATTAGTGGACTCTTGCAAATGAGATTCACATTTGCTTTTATCATTGTTCAGTTAAATCTTGGCTGCAGTTATTAGATTTTATGCTAGAAATTGCAGCCTTAATTGTCGAATTTTGAGTTGGATTCGAGCCAGACTTTGCTTTCCTCCCGAGTTTTGAGCTCCTCAAGTCCAAACCCGATCAGTTCTGCAGAGGAACATCCTACGTATTCAGATCTCTGCTTCTGCATGTATGTTTGGAAGGGTAAAGACCCCATAAGTCTAGCTAGAATCTGACCAGCAGAATTGCACGGCTCTGCTTTCAACCAACATTCGTGAGATGCAAACTTCCTGATGTTATTTATATCTTAAAGCATTCTGGGTCCGCTTGCTTTGCTGCATCAGATAAACCCTGTAAGCACAGAGACTGAAACCGTCTGCACTGCACATCTCAATTCACGACTGTTTGTGGTGTGCGCAATTAGCTGCCGCGTTTCACCCACAAAATATAGTCAATTCACTTTACAGTAAATTCTGTGAAGGTTCCTTGAGGTCTCGAAGATATGCTAACAACAACAAAATAACATTTATATAGCGCCTTTCATGTCGGGAGGACGTCCTGAGGCTCTGGACAATCAGTGTTTTGAACCTGAGCTGGGGGTCGGGATCGGGGAGGATGGAGGGCAGGGAGGGTAAAGGAGGGTGATCAAAGGCACGGTCGAAGAGCAGGGTCTTGAGACGGATCTTGAAGAAGGCAAGGGGGGGGAAGAAGTGGAGGGACTGCGGGATGGAATTCCAGAGGGTGGGGGCAGAGTGGCTGAAGGCCCACCCGCCAATGGTGGGGCGGGCAAGGCCGGGGACGTAAGGCAGGCCGGAGCCCGCTGAGCAGAGGGAGCAGGCAGGTTGGTAAGCGGTTAGGAGATCGCAGAGGTAGGGGGGAGCAAGACCATGGAGGGCTTGAAGGTGAGGACCAAGATCTTGAACTTTATCCTCTGTGTGATGGGAAGTCAGTGGAGTTGGGCGAGGATGGGGATGATAGGATCACGGAGTCTGGTAAGGTAGAGGACATGGGCTGCAGTTCTGAATGATCTGCCGCCTATCGAGGGAGGAATTGGGGAGTCCAACTAGCAGGGAGTTCGCATAGTCAAGCCTGGATGTTATGAATGCGTTTATGAGGTACTCGGGGGTCTGCGGTGTGAGACAGGGGTCAAACAAGACGCCAAGGTTCCAGACTGGCTTAGTAAGGTGGAATGTGCATCCTTGGATGGTAATGCTGTCAGTGCCTGAAGTGTGGAGGTGCTGATGGGAGCCAATCAGGAGGGCCTCAGTCTTACTGATGTTCAACTGTAGAAAGTTTGCTCTCATCCAGGACTTGATGTCTGACAGACATTCTGTCAGGACAGCAGTGGTCCTGCAGTCGAACATGTAGGCAGAGACAGAGTTGGGTGTCATGTCTGCGGATGATGTCACCAAGAGAGAACACATAGATATTGAAGAGGAGGGGACCAAGGACAGATAAGGCACAGTATCAAATGCAAGGATAATTATTATTATTTTCTCTCAAAACTGTTCTACATAACAATATTTTCAGTACTTGTATCATTCTTTTACTTGAATTTAAAGAAAAATGGTATACATTTGAATAGTTTCCATTTACAGTACTGCAAGCATTAGATAATTTGTTCATTTTAATGCAAATCATATCATCTCCAAATCTTCTTCATTTGGAAGTTATGAAAAGGGCAAGAAACTTTAATGAAACATTGCTGAAATTCTACTTTGTCTTTTAAATGTAAACTTGAGAATAATGCATATCTATGAATGAAAGTGGCAATTTCATTGACGGATTCAGGTGATATGATCTGAATTCTAACATGAAATATCAGCCTTGAAATCATTTGATGTCTGGAGGTTGATTCACCATCAGTGAATTTAATCAACTGCTCCCATGGCAAGGGTGTATCCAAAGTCCTCAAAATGATCAATTCAGTGTTTAGGGAAAACACTTATATTTTGTATTAAAGGGGATCATTTTTCAGATTGCCAAGTTCTCTACCGATTGCTCCACATAGGCACCATACATGGGTATCATCAAATATCAATTACGGATTATAATAATGGTTACATTTGGTTTTGTATAAACTGCAATTTTATTGATCAATAATAAACACTTGAGTTACCATGTTGCTATACATTACTTCTGATTTTTTTTGGGGGGGTGTTTGACACATGCGAAAATCCATCACCATGCTTAAGAATATTCAAACTAGATTGAGAGTTCCATGCATCCCAGCTACACAGGGAAAATCCAGAGATATTTCTTGGAATGGAATATTCACTCTCTCTTTGGAGGGATTCGTCCTGCTTACCTAATTCTGGAAAGTATTAGGCGAAGGCTGGCAAGAGCCAAGGCTTGGGGGCTCCAGAGTGTGTGTTGGGGTACAGCTGGAATCTAACCAGCTAAATCTGCTGCTTACGATTGAGAGCACTGCCTGGAAAGCTTTCCCACTACTTGTCCAGCTAGGAACTTTGGAGTTTTGTTTGCAGAGTTAATGGGAGCTGAGTGGGAAGAGTTCCTGCCCTCAAAAACTGGTCTGCCTTTCCAAGTCCAGCTGATGAGCCATGCTGCCTGGGTTGTCATCAGCAGTGCCCTGGAGCAGGGGTTCTCAAACGTTCTGGCCTCAAGGCCCCCAGGATTAGGTATCAATGCCTGAAGATCCCTCAGGACATAAGGTATCGTGATTGAAGACTGTGCAGAGTTCTTGTGGAGCAGCGATGCCTCCCTCCCCCACGGCATCCACAAAATGTCTGCTCTTAAATACCTTGCAATGGAACCATGGGAATGCACCTTTCTCATTCGCTCCTTGCGTTGCGGTGACTTCTCTAACCTTTGGACTTCCAGTAAGTCTCTCAGGTCTGCAGCCGCCCCCCCTCCACCCACCAACTCCCACCCTGAGGTCTGCGGAATCCAAGTTGGGAACCTCTGCGGTGGAGTACTGCAGACCCACCTGGCTCAGGACTACCAAGACCACATTACATATAAGCTTGTGCTAAGGTTGTTACTGTTGAAAACACTGCAACAAGGATAAAGCATGGGTCTTGGTAATCTTTGATCTACAGTAACAGAAATGTCACTGTATACTTTTGACCATATCACCAATTACTTTTTCATTTAAAGAACACGAGACTCACTTACATTCTGCAATTTGATCTTTATTTTTTGGGTCATCGATAGCATTTTACACCTATGTGACATTCTAAACACAAGATACACATGAGGCAAGATAATATAACAAAAAGCAGCTCTTTTAGTAAGATCAAGACTTTTAGCAAAGTGTAAAAAAAAATCCAAGTACAATATTAACAAACTAGAACCAATTCAATTCAAACAGAACAGATCCAGAAATCCAAAAAGGGGCCAAGGATCTTCAAGCCCTCATATAGGTTGCTTTGCTAACTGCTTTTACTGTAAACACAATGATAAAGTCCTCTGGTATTCAGCTTAAGCTATGTAGCCTGAACCTTTGCTACCAATAAACACATATTTGCATAACCAGCTCTTAGGAAACAGAGCTCAGAAATTATCAAAGAAATCAAATAAATGCATGTACATCACTTATTAAAATAAAAACTGAAAAAGGAATTATGTAGGGATAAACTAACCATAAGTAAATCAAAGCCCGAGTTTGCTCCTTAAAAGCATAGCCATATTTTCACATCATTAACTTTTTTATTATACAATTTCATTAAATAAACAAAGAGTGAATATCTCCCAAGCCTCGAGTAGGGATAGGACTAATTTCATCTGATAAAAATATACATATCTTACAATATTTATCTGTAATTTCTTCCCCATTTAGAAAAATACACAACAAATGTCAATCTTTTAATAAATGTTGCCAGCAAGAATTTGTTAAATGGAATCATTTTGCTCTGGCACAACTGAGTTCTGTTCTTCAGCCTTACACAAGACATCTGAAATAACTGGTAAAACAAACAAGTACAACCTTTAGCTTTTATATTCAGTATGCAGCAGCAATTAAATGAATGGAAACCAAAAAACAGTGTGCAATGCTGATGCCAACTAGGTGCTCGCAAGAGGAGCTTTATTAGGAATTTCACCTTCGTTTACGCACAGCAGTTTTTATCTTTCGGTGGGAGATGGAACTGGCGGATTGTGTGTTCAGCTGTCTTGGTGTCCTGTTACGGGGGAAAATGGAGAATAACCATTTCAGCACTGTTATCTCTTCTAAGCTATACATGAAAAGTTCCTTGGCAACTTTTTAAAAAATGTCCCCAAGTTGTTTTATTTATCTTTCGCTCACTTTTTAATTGGTTCTCCTGCCAGTGCCACCCTTGAATTGTTTTCTGGGTGTGCAAGATGGATGTGAGTAACTTGCCCTCAAACTTCCCTTTCCTCTCTGAGGACTACCCAGCCTTGTTCAGACCAGGGGGACTCTATATAGTGAAATCACCTTGTTTATGCATACCCCAATTTGGGGTATGCTAATGCATGGGATTTTCCTCTCGACTCTCTTCCCCCTCCTCGCTCCCTCCCTTCCCTCCCCTCACCCTGACCATTTCCCCTGCTCGGGTCCTGACCCAACTGTGCAGCGCCTTGGGACGTCCTCCTGACGTGAAAGGCGCTTTATAAATGGAATCTTGTTGTTGTTGTTGTTGATGAATATGTAGCAGTTTTAAAAACAACACATTCATTCATCAAATATAAAGATAAGAGAAAAAGAAACTAGACTGTAGATAGGAAGACAGTCAACACCAAACCAAATATTAAATCACACATAGTTTTTTTTTCATTTCAATCAATTTATCTTGTAAGTTTGATAATAAAACATCTTTTGGGATGAAATCCTTGTTGAGCTCACTATTGAAGCACATTGAGTGAAGTAGGTTTGAAGAAAGGTCTGTGATGATATTAGAAAGAGGCTGCTGTGATGGAAACAGTTATGTGTTCCAGGGTACTTGACTCATTGTGCAAATTTATATCTGCCAGCAGAATCCGTATACCCTTCATAATGGTTGTTCGCAAGTGCAAAGTGAGTTGTTAAGTACACCCATGAAAAGTTCAAAAGAGTCCAAGATTGGATCAGAAGAAGCCACGTAAATTTGCAGAAAACTTGCCAACATCTTTTCAGAGTAAATGAAGTGAGGAGTTCCCAGAATGTCAATAAAAAGTAATCCAGAGTTTGATGAGAGAAATCACTTATGAAATTTAGTAAAAAGTGCAATACAGGATTAGTAAGTTACTGATCTGATAATTCAGCGTTAGATATACATGAACACAAGTTAATGTTGACAGACACATGCACACATTTTCAGGAAGCTTTTTTTAATAGAACAAATAATTTTATCAGACAGGACAAGATAAGAGGGAAGGATGAGTGCTACAAAAAGAATACGAAACACAGAGATTTAAAGAAGATCGTCAAGTGGTCTTTGATGACACAAACTGCATCCATCGCTCCATCAATTATGGTGGTTTGATGTAGTCACATTGTTGGAAACAGAGCAGATTAGCTTTACTCCACATCCAGTCCTCACAAACATTATTTAATTGTCCTGAACTGGTATTATATATTGAATAATAATAGGTTAATAGATTAGGGAAAGCACCGATCATGGGATATACTTAAAAGCCACTGCTATCTGATAAATTTGTTTCTTTCAAATTGCTTTTGTTTAAAAAATGCAATAATAATCCTTGCATTTGATAGCGCCTTATCACGTCTTCGAGATGTCTCAAATCGCTTTACAGAATATATGTAAACTGAATTAACTGTATATTTTGTGGGCGAACTGCAGCAGCCAATTGCGCACAGCAGTGTCCGACAAATAGTCATGGATTGAGTGACCAAATTATTATTTAACTTTGTTTTATAAAAGCATTTCGTCTTCTATACTAATAAAGACGAAATGTCTGTCTGTGTATCTGTCTGCCAAAAAAACAATAACCGATTGACGTAGAGACATGATTTACACCTTATCGGAAAAGTCTTGTATTGGAGAGCGTCATGGGCATATTTTCGGGGATCGCCTATCATTGATGAGGTATATTAAAAAATGCTTTAATTAAGCCCCCAAAAAGGTATGCATGGTATTCTGCAACAAAGTAGCAACAGAAGTCACACACCCTTCTAGAGCGATACATCTATACTAATAAAAACGAAATATCTGTCTATGTGTCTGTCTAACCGATTGATGAAGAGAAATGTCTCATTGGAAAGGTCTTGCATCGGGAAGTGTCACGGGCATATTGTTTTTTTGGGGGGGATCTCCAATCGTGACCTAAACAAGCTCATCGCACATGTATGGACTCCAACAAGTAGTCTTCGCAACCAGGAGTCCTCCCAACCAGGAGTCCTCACATTGAGGCCTCCCACTGAGTCCTCCCAACAGGAGCCCGCCAACAGGAGTCGTCCCAAAAGGATATGTGGGCAAATATGTGAACAAGGGATGTTAACAAGTTCAATAGCACATTTTCTTAATCTTAAGGGATGAAGGTGCCTGAGAAGCAAAGATCAAGCATTTCAAGGACAAATAAAAATGCCAAGGGAAAGAGTGAAGGCTGATTAAATGAAGCTGGTTGCAACCGTAGCTGAACGGGTACAGCTAGTCTGTAGTCAAATTGACTGTATATTTGTGGGCGAACGCTGCAGCCAATTGCGCACAGCAATGTCCCACAAACAGTCGTAGATTGCAAATGACCAATTTATTATTGTTTTTGGTTTTGGAGGGATTATTATTAGGCGTGTCGAGTAAGGAAACTTGCCCAAGGTTTCGCCCTCTGCCTGGAATTGAACTCAGGTCTCTCGCTTGCAAAGTGAGTGCTCTAACCACTGAGCTACAGGACTCCACGAAGATAAATAAGATAAGATCATGGCCTCAGTTACTTTTTGGCAAGGCAATAAAGACTAACTTAACTATAAGCAATAGTTTAGATTAGTGATTGAAACAAAAATCACCAAACATTAATCTAGAAAGCACAACATCAAGGAATTAAAATCCTTCCCCTTGTTTATGCAGCTGAACTACTCTGAATCAACAGGTGCAATATTCCTATTACCCTTCAAGTGTAGAAATTCGACAATGTGCACTTTAGTAAAAATGTCATAAGTACACACTGTTAAAGTTGTCATACTTAGTAACAAGTGGAATATTTCATTTAATATTTTTTATGAAGCATCACTTATAATTAAGAAGTCAGAAAAAAGTTCTCAAAGCCCAGAATCATTCTGATCAGAAAATTAAGGTTGTTGTGGATCTGCTTCCAATTTACAAACATTGGAAGCAAACAGAGGCAATAAAACCACCCACGTGAACATCTTCCACAAAACAATAAATTATTGTAACATTCAGTAAAGCGAAATAATCATATCTAACTTTCAGAAATCCAAAATAAATCCAAAGAATCAAAATAGAGAAATAATTAATGCAATAATAATGTGCTGGTTTTGTCCAGCACAATTTACAAAACTACTAACCTCTGGCAAAATATCTAGACTACACAATTCACTTTCATTATCCAATTCAGACATAGAGCCCATTAATGTCACCTGGACTACCTGACATGCACTATAGTACAGTGAGATGCAACATTTCTTAGAAACTGTCAGTACAGTACTGCCAAGGCTTCTTTCTGTAGTTTGGAAATAAGACAAACAAGAAGTTATGTTTGAGGAGTTTTACCTCACTGAACTTACCCGGTAGTGAAGGTAGGTAGTGACAAAGGTGCAAAATTGAAACCCTCATTGGTCGTAGACTGACTGCTCTCATTTGCTCCAAAGCGAAAGACTGCATTATTGCTGGAACAGCCAAAATTAAAATTTGGAACCAAATTACCAGAAAATTGGAAACCAGGCCCTGGAAGGAAATCAAACAAAATGTTGGCATGTCACAAAAGTACTACCTATAACTACACAAACACTCCTTGCAAGTTATCTGTACATTTCATTGCCATCCAAGAACTGTTATTCTTAACATTTTATTTGAAGTAAGTGTTTGGTATGAATTTTAAAGGCATTAAGAACACAAATTCAAGACAATTAGCACAGCAAATAATTTACAGCAAGTAGTTTAGTGCAGCTGCACTTTCAAGCAGTTACTATTGTAACCTGACTACAGTGAAGAGGTTCTATAAAATATTCTGCAAATGCAGTACCATGACTCAACAGTTTAATTTGTGATTTTTTTCTCTTTCAACAGTGGTTTGTCTACAGTTTAAAATATTATCTTCAATGCCAGTACCTAGCAATTTTGGTTTACTTGACTAATGTGAAGTGAATGCAATGCTCTGGCATGTCAGAAAACTTTTATATAGATATATAAATAGAAATTTCAGCTGAATCAGACTTCATGGTAATACCCACTGTAGACCAGGTGCAATTTAGAAAGTCATTTTAGTGGCAAAGAAAACAAACTTATGAGTAACTTTGCAGAATTATTAATGCGAAGATTGGCATAAATTGGTGGCATTGAATTTAAACTTCTGACCTCAAATATTCATTAAAATTAAGACAAGGTTAAAACTACATCTCAAAACAATCTAAAGTTTTACAGGACAGTTCATACCAGCAAATGAAAACTGGACAGGATTGCCAGGGATACTGGCATTAGCCATTCCCAAGTTAAATGGGGCAGGAGACAAAGCTGAGCTCATTTGTCCAAAGACAGGGGTGAAGTTGCTGTTGGAGGCAGAGGTGGTGTATGTCCCAGCAGAAGAGGTGTTGTTGCTGCCTAATTCACTGTAGTGTCCAAAGGCAAAAGGTAAGGCTTGTGAAGGCATATAGGACATTGCTCCTGTGTTCATATCAGACTTGTTTGATGCACCAAAGCAAAATGCGGGTGGTGCTGCGTTGCTGCTTGTGGTAGAGTAAGTGGGCAGACCAAAAACTGCTGGAAAAGATGCCATTGAGGGGAGTGATGTACTTGTGGTGATGGATGAGTCTTGGAGTCTGAAACATCGCTTTGCTACAGGTTCATCTGCACAGAATGGAAAAACGCAGTGTCATATTATATTGGTAAATTACTCATACAACAAATATTTCTCATAGCCCATAAAGTACAGAGTGAAAAAAGTAAACATTGATCATCCCTTTCTCTCTCCCAATTCAGATCAGGGTAATGGGTCTAATCAAAAGTCTCGAACTCAATTAAGAAAATAAATTCTGGTGAGAACACAAACATTGTGAAAAATCAGGTCATTATGTAGTTTCTAAATTTATTTAATTCCTTAATTAATTGCTTTGCACAATTATGAGAGAGATTAACTGGCTCATGAATGAAGAACTTGAAGGGCAGGGCTGTATTTAGGAAACGCTAGCCAAAAATATGCCCAGTCGAATGCGAGTCCACTGGGCAAATTCAACAACAACAAATTGCATTCATACATTTGTGGCGTTCACGTCGGGAGGAAGTCCTAAGGCGTTGGACGCGCAAGTATTTGGACAGCAATACTCCTAAATGAAGATCGTATTGTTTCAATTAATTAAAATGAATTCAAGTGAAAAGCTCATGATCTTGAATAGTGGTGAAAGCAAAAGCCATTTGAGGTCAACGTCTACCCTGCTCTGCTTTAAGATGGTAAAGGACAATGGAACCTAATAGGCCATTAGAACAATAACCATTTAATAAATTACTAACCAGCATTAACTCAAACAAAGCTAAGCCATGAAATAAGAACTTTTCTCACCTGGATCAAGTGAATCACCATCCTCCCGGACACTTTTTCTTCGCTCCCCTCTACCCAAGCAGGCATTTTCGTGAGATGTCTTTGCGGGATGCAAGACTGTAGTCGCTGCTGTATTTCCAGGCAATTTGCCATCAGGAGCAGTTGAAGTTGACGCTGATGCCATCCAGCTCGAGGGCTTTATCCTTTCTACTTTCCCCAGTGTGCTCTCACTGAGGTTCACCTCAGGCTCAGGAAGTTTGGAGGGTTGCTCACAGGGAGACTGAACGTCACTTGGGACCTCTATTGGTTTAAACAGCATGTACTTGGGTGGCTGTGAAAGCTGTGCCGCCTGGGAAAGGTGAGATTTCTGCTCCGGCTGTGAAAGCTGCCCAACTGCCTGTGAGGCTGAATTTGAAGAAGGCACGTTTTCCTCAGATGTTGAACACTGTGCACTTCGTTGAACAAGTCCTGTTGTCGTTCTTGCACCTGTGCTGCTCAGTGGTGAGGTATCGCTTACAGAATTGATTTCTGTAACTGGACAAGTACCGCAAGTCATCTGAGAGACTGACGAGGCCACTGAAGCCATCGATATTGCTGCTACACTAGCGTTCTGAATAATTCCTAATCTTCCATTCTCAAACCCACACACATTAGTGCTGAGGTCTGTAAATAAAAAAGCAACATAGTAACCGAATGAAGCTATAGGAATTGCATGAGGTGAGAAAATTATCATTTGAACAACCAATACTGTCCAGTTCTGTTTCAATTTGCTATCTTCTGCAGTAAATCTTCATTTCAATTTGCCTGCGTTATTTGCCTACAAATATAGAGTAACTACATTTGACAGCAATTTCCTGTGAAGTGCTCTTAAGAAATTTATTTCTCTGTGTTCTTGTTAATGTTCTTGTTCCCTGGCAAATTATGCTTCCCACTCACTTGCTCTTCCCCAACTCTCACACACTCAGTGCTCGCTTTCACACTCAGGCACTCACACTCTGTGTATCGATCCATTTCCTATATCTTGTTTGAGATGCTCATTCCCTCTTTTGTCTTTTAGTGCTCTCTTACCTCCCATAATTATTCACTCACACTTGTTGCTTTCTTGTTTCTTTTTCTCTCGTGCTCCTTTTGCACTCCCTCACACTCACTCACTATCGTTCTCCTCTTTTCTCAGTTTTATTCCCCCCCTTCCTTTTCCTTCCTCCCAAGTCACGTTTTAATGGGACATTGAAAATGGCTGACACTGATGTCAATTGCTGCACATTACGCACAAAGTGACCTGCTCAGACAGATTGATGCTCACCACTTCACCTCACATCCCCTATTCCCTGATTTTACCCAATGCGTTTGACAATTCTTCCTCAATTGCCCTTACTCTTCACACATTTAACTCAATTTCTGCTTGTGCATCATCATATAACCCACGTGAAATTCTCATTGCCTTATAAGTTAGAACCCACATGAAATTCATTACCTGATCCCTTGCCCCCCCTCCCCACCCAGCTGCTGACTACTTAATTGCACTTCCTCTGCTCTCTGCTGGCAGATATACTAAGCCTGACCCCTTATTCAGATCCTGACCTCCTCCCCTTCAAAACCCACGTAATCTCCCTCTCTTCAAATAAAAACTTACTCTTGACCCCACTCCTCCCCCACATCCATCAACTACTGGCCTATATTGGAGTTCTGTATATGCGGAGTCCTGCAGCTCAGTGGTTGGAGCACTCGCCTCGCAAGCGAGAGACTTGAGTTCGATACCCAGCAGGGCGAAATGTTGGGCAAGTTTCCTTACTCCACATGTCTCTGTTACCTAGCAGTAAGTAAGTAGCAGTTGGTAGGCAATTGGCGGATTGCTTTTCTGTGAGTAATAATTCAAAAAAATAAAAATAATAAATTGGTCACTTCAATCCACGGCTGTTTGTGGGACACTACTGTGTGCAATTGGCTGCCACATTTTACCCACAAAATATAGTCAATTCACTTTACAGCCTATTTTATGAGGTGCTTTGAAACATCTCGAAGACGTGATAAGGCGCTATATCAAATGCAAGGATTATTATCTTCAATCCACCCTATCCTGAATCCTGGAACCCATTGTTACCACTCAACTCCACTCCTACCTTTCCCTCTGCTCCCAGCTTCCCCTCCATTCCCTGTTCACTCCATCTCACACCGCCTTTCTCTCTGCCTTTATTCCGCATTAATCTGCCTCTTTATCCGTGCCTATGGTCACTAGTCCCTTCCTCTCCTATTTAGCCAACCCAGCCATTGTAAAGCTCTCTTAGACGTTATCTATGTAACATGCACTATTTAAATATAAACCATTAAACTATCGGTTCCTAGTCTGCGGTTAATGATTTGTATTAATGCAACATTTACCTAGCAGTAAGTAGGAACCCACTTGCTAGTTGATTGGCGGATCGCTTTCCGGGGATAATAATCCCCCCAAAATAATAATAATTTGGTCACTCAATCCATGACTGTTTGTGGGACACTGCTGTGCGCAATTATCTGCCGTGTTTCGTCCACATAACACAGTCACAACACTTTAGAGTGTAGCCTGTGAAGCACTTTGAAACATTTCGGCGACATGATAAGACGCTCTATCAAATGGAAGGATTATTGTTTTTATAACATTTACCGTTTGATTGGGAAATCTCTTCATGGGCTCTGCCAGATGAGTGCAGATCTTCAACTCCTACAACTGGTGGGATCCATAATCTTTTCATTCCCACTCCATATTTTGGGGTTTCACAGGCCTCACATCTCTCTGCCAGAGCTTTATTTGAAACCAGACATGTATCACAAGTCCATTTCTTCTCTGGTGATTTAGGAGTATCAACTTCAATGCAGATATTGAGATCTCCAAGCACAGTAGAATTTGGTGCTTTGACTTGCGTTTCAAGCCCAGAAAGAATGTCGGCTCTCTGCTTACCCCGTGTTACAAAGGTTTTATATTTTTCTGTTTTGACTTTGTCGGACTGAGTTGACTTGGAAGGAGAGATTAAGTTTTCTTCTTTTTGGTTCTCAGTGTTGGTGCTGGAATTCTGGTATATTTCTGATGAATTGGGCACTGAAAAACAAAAACTGTCTGGGTTACAAAACATCTGCCATATTATCAATGTTTTTGATCAAAATATATATTTGAAAAAAAATTCCTGAATCTCAAATGTGTTTTTCCTCAATAGATAAATGCTGAAAAAATAAATCTTAAGAGTAAATGACTTCAGAAGAGCAGTACCCAAGTGCATTAATGTGTATTCATGTTTCTCCTCCTGCTTCGTATGCTGGGAGAGAAAAACAAAGATTAAACTGTATACAACTTACATATTTCCCAGAAGCAGAGGTTATCCTGTCATTGGAAGAGAATTCCAATTAAGAGAACCAACCCCAACCTTGATAAGTTGTGAAAGGAGCATTATAAAAATCAGGTTTGAGAGTTTACAAATGTTACATCCATTGGATAATAATTTCAAAGTTAAAATACTTTCAACCTGAGAAGGTTCAGTGCCACCTAAGTATCCAAAGGATATACCAAGAGACTTTTCTTTACATATGAAAGAGAGGGTCCTGCGGCTCTGACCTCCTCAACATCTCCCGCCTATCCTTCAAACTCACTGAACTAGGCATCAGGTTCGACTCACAGCTTTTTGTAGCTTTTGCTTGAGATTTTAAAGTAACCACAACTGTCCTTCCTACCCCACAACCAGTCCTTGACCAGGACCGCTTTCGTCCACCTCCACCACATTGCCCTCCGGCAACCATACGGTTCAGTCACTGTTAAGCGTGACTTTACAGCATATTTTATGAAGGGCAAGTTGTTGTTTTTGTCTAAGTCCCTTTGCCCAGTTCACTGTAACAAGGTGCATTATAAAGCATTTCCATTGTATGTGTTGATTCCTTATTGCAGAAGCCCACCTGAGGGACAGTATCCAGTTTGCTATGCAATACATGTGTCTCTTTACCCTGAAGTCACAATTGGAAAAAAGTGTCAGATCATAAGATTATCTTGCAAAGCAATTACCTGTTTGGTGTGAAGACACTTCAACAATTGCAGTATTCATAGGGCAAGGGAGCTTCACTGACTGGACATTGTCAGCCTCTTTCTGTTTAAAAGATATGTGCAACATAAATATTCCTGTAAATATTTTTCTAAAACTTTGAAATAAGTTAATAATAATAATCCTTGCATTTGATATAGCGCTTTTCACGTCTTCTAGACGTCTCAAAGTGCCTCACAGAATATGCTATCCTGACTGAATGTCTGTAAGGCATCAAGTCCTGGATGGGAGCCAACTTTCTTCAGTTGAACGTCAACAAGACCGAGGCCCTCCTGATTGTCTCCTGTCAGCGCCTCCTCACCTCAGGCACTGACAGATTCACCATCCATGGTTGCACACTCCACCTTACTAAGCCAGTCCGGAACTTTGGTGTCTTGATTGACCCTCAACTATCTTTTCTACCCCACATCTGCGCCATGACCCGCTCTGCCTTCCCCCACCTCCACAACGTTGCCCGGCTCTGCCACTGCCTCACACCACAGGCCGCCGAAACCCTCATACACGCTTTCATTACATCGAGGATCGACTGCAAACTCATTGCTTGTCGGCCTCCCCAACTCCTCCCTCCACAGGCTGCAGATCATCCAGAATTCTTCAGCCTGTGTCCTCTCCCGCACAAGGCCTGCGACACGATCACCCCCATCCTTGTCCAACTCCACTGGCTTCCCATCACACAGAGGATACAGTTCAAGATCCTGGTCCTCACCTTCAAAGCCCTCCACGGTCTTGCTTCCCACTACCTCTGCGACCTCCTAACACCCTACCATCCTGCTTGCTCCCTCTGCTCCAGCCTGCTTCATGTCCCCCGCCTCGCTCGCTTTACTATTGGCAGACGGGCCTTCCACCACTCTGACCCCACCCTCTGGAACTCCATCCCGCAGTCCCTCCGCCTCGCCTCCTCACTCGCCACCTTCAAGGCTCATCTTAAGACCGTCCTCGTGCGGTGTCCCTCAGGGCTCTGTCCTCAGTCCCCTCCTTTTCACCCTCTATATGCTTCCCTTGGTGACATCATCCGCAGACATGGGGTTAACTTCCACATGTATGCGGATGACACCCAACTCTACCTTTCCTCTTCTACCCTCAACTCCACGACCACCGATGTCCTGACAGCCTGCCTGTCCGACATCGAGTCCTGGACGAGGGACAACTTTCTTCAGCTCAATGTGCGCAAAACTGAGGCCCTCCTGATGGCTCGCGTCAACGCCTCCACACCTCAGGCGCTGACAGCATCAGCATCCAAGGCTGCACTCTCCACCTCTCAGAGCCAGTCAGGAACCTCGGCGTTCTGTTCGACCCTGAGCTGTCCTTTCTTCCCCACATCCGCGCCACAGCTGGCACTGCCTTCCACCACCTCTGGAACATCGCCAGACTACGGCACTACCTCACCCCTCACGCTGCTGAAACTCTGGTCCACGCCTTTATCACCTCAAGGCTGGACTATGGGAACTCTCTCCTCGCCGGCCTTCCCGGCACCTCCCTCCACAAGCTGCAGGTCATTCAGAACTCTGCAGCTCGTGTACTGTCCCGCACCAGGCTTCGCGACCACATCACTCCCACCCTCGCTCGCCTCCACTGGCTCCCCATCCCCATTCATGGCCTTGCTCCCTCCTACCTCTCCGCCTACTATCCCCCTACTTACCTGCCCGTACCCTCCGTTCCTCTGGCTCCGGTCTGCTCCACATCCCCCGCCCTAACTTCGGTGACCGGGCCTTCAGCCTCTCAGCCCCTAGGCTCTGGAACTCCATCCCCCAGTGCCTTCGCCTTGCTTCCTCCCTTTCCTCCTTCAAGGTCGGTCTCAAGACCTTTCTCTTCAACCGTGCCTTCACCTCCCCTCTCGACTCTCTACCCCCTCCTCGCTCCCTCCCTTCCCTCACCTGACCCTGACCATTTCCCCACTGCTCGGGTCCCAACCCAACTATCCAGCGCGTTGGGACGTCCTCCCGACGTGAAAGGCGCTCTTTCAATGCAATCTTGTTGTTTTTGTCCTCTTCAACCGTGCTTTCGATCTCCCAGCTTCCCCCCTCTGCCCTCCCTGACCCCGAACGCCAGCTTGGGTCCATAACTCTGTCTGTCCAGTGCCTTGGGACGACCTCCTGACGTGAAAGGCGCTTTACAAATGGAATTTTGTTATTGTTGTTCTTTGGGATTTATTTTATATTGATATTGGCTCCTTACTGTGATCTGGTTCTCAGCTAATATGTTTACAGATCATGCTATACATCAGAACTCGGCAATTACCTTAAACCCATCAATTTAGCCAGCAGTATGTATGGTCACTCACATCATGCTGTTATTTTGCTGCCACTGACTGTTCGGCTTCCTGTGCTCAGTGAATAACAGCAGAGACTCCTGCAACCGCAGACATAAGCGCATAACATAACTTGCTTATAACGCTGTCTCATTTTAAAGACCACATTTCTCTATCAGCTAACAGGTTATTATAATGGGCTGGACTTTATCTTTAGGGTAGTCAGCCAACTGGAAGTGAGCCAATCAAGATTTCATCCTTTCCCAAATAGGTGACCTACTTGAATGTAGTGTCATAGTCTAGTAGACTTGCATTACTGTCTTTTGATATTCTTCTGCTTTATCTAATGTTGGTTTCATACCTCATCATCTTCTATGCCCCATGCAGAAAAGTAACCAGTGTTGCCATTTGCTTTGGGGCTGTTGGCTGTCTTACTGGTGAAGCTTTTACTAGGAGGGTGGACAGGTGATACTTTTGATAAATGTGTTGAAAGATTTCTCCTCCTACAAAATAATCGGAAAAAGAGGCAAGCTTATTTATAAATCATCATAAAGTACTGAAAGACTTCTCAAACTTTTAAAAGAGTTAGTTTTTCCTGTTAGACAATCATAGAAAGACAGGGAGCAATTTTCAATGGAGCAATTTTTGTGGGCAACAGCATATTGTTTTATCCTGGCTGTATGAAGGTTTGCTAATAAATGGAGAATTATCTCAAAGCTCTACCAAACGGAATGGGATAATCTTGACTTGGTTAAGAAAAATGACACAATAAAATCTCAATATTAGTACACCTGGTCAATCAACAACTTGCATTTATAAAGGGTCCTTCATGCTGGATTGTGTCTTGGAGCGCTTGTGTATATCATAGTATTGTCTATGTACATAAGTATATATCATGGTAAAGCAACCTCCTCCTTATTGCTTCAGCAGACATTGTTCTCCCCACCTCACCCCCTTCCTCCCCACCTTAAAAATCTGACTTAAGACCTTCTTTACGATCTGCTTTTGGTCACCTTTCCCCCCACATCCAATCTTCCTTAGCTCCCTCCCTCCAGCTCAGTCTCCTGGTCAGCAATGTGAAACACTTCAAGATGTGCTTCTAATATGAAAGGTGCAATATAAATTGTTGTTATGAATCGTACACATTTTTAAATACATGGTCAATGTAAAATTGAGTTTTGTGAATCTTGCAAAAGTTAATTACTGCGTTGTCCAGAGTCAGTGTTGAATAGCTGAGTAGAAACAACCTAACGCCAACTTAGCTCATTCAGGTGAAACAAATGTTTTCTTTAAGAGAGAAAATTCTTAAATGATTTTGGATACATTTAAAACATTTCAGCATGCTAATAGGTGCAAATGGCTACTATCATGGACATAAATGGGTACATTTTTAACAACTTGATCTTGCCAATGTTTTTGTTAATCAAAGTCAGAACCAAAGAGCAGTATCAAACCTTTGGGGCTGGTGCTCTTTGATCTTTACTTCAGCCGAATGCTTACGGTTCTTTATCTGCGGAGGATGAAAAACAAATTCTCAGTATTGATTTAAAGCAACGAGTATGAAATTCTATAATGATGGTATAAAATTCCAATCTACTTTCCTGTTAGGGAGGGACTGGGAAAGGAATACCAGTCAGTGCGTGGTACGAGAGATGAGGGGAAATAAAATTGTTTTTCAACATATCTAATGCGTGCATGGCAGGAGGGTAATAATGAACATGATGATTACATCAGACACACTACCATTGATAATGTTATGGTCAAAGCAGATTTAGGTCATTATATGAGTCAGGTTAGAATGAGTTATGTCTACACACAATCTCAGGGTCAAATAACAAATTAAGCTCTAAGATAATTCTTTAGTTTCAGACCTCATTAGAACTGCTCGATTATCTTGCAACTTTATACAGTTATTTGAGCTGGTATTTCTAAATGGTGGTTTAAATCAGTTGAACAGTTTTTTTTTAAAAAGTCTAGTTAAAGCTTTCTACATGCATCTAAATGTAAACGGCTTTTTGTATCTTTTGCTTGATATTTTAAAGTAACCTACACTACAGTAATAGTCATATGATGCTACATAAGAAATTATTTACATATAGCATAGCCCGTATAGCAATACCCTACCCACTTGGGTTTCAACTTGCAGTGTTGAGGGCATATTTACAGCTCCAATTCTTCATTGCATTATTACAGATCTATTGTGTCTCCACTAAGACAGTTTAGCCCCATACATACCTTACAGGGTAATTGCAGACATGGAGCTCATTTTGTCAACTCTGAAAGATTAAACGGCTCCATTGGGATTAGATACACGAACCAGATCCACATTCGTACTTTGTTGCCCCATATCACTTTCAGTGATTCTCCTTTCAAAGCTCACTAGCACCTTTACATCTTCACCCATTCATTAACGGACACAAGGAACACAACAACAACTTGGATTTATATAGCGCCCTCCACGCCGGACGGCGTCTCAACACCACAGCTGCACAAACAGCAATCATCCCAAGGAGTACATGTAGCTCACCTTTATGTGCACACTTTCCTCTGGTGTAATCTCCTTCAGTGCTTGACTTTCTTCAACTTCCAACTCATTCAAATCAACTGCACAGCTCACTGGGGTAGACAATTCCTGTAAGCAAGACTTGCGAGAGGTCTTTGAAATAGAACGTAAACTGACATCAGGCTTCGGCTTGGCCTCATGACTGTGATTTTTCTGAAAGAAAACGGCAAACATACTCATTTTAAAATCAGCACAATGTTGGCTAAACAGGATAAATAGGATTGTTGAAAAATGACAAAGACATTATGTTTCCTTCAATGGAGAATTTGAACTTTTTGAAAGAAATATTCTCCCCTTCTCCCACCACCAAATGTTCTGCCCTGCACTGATGAAGACACTAATTAGTTCCACAATTGTAAGTCAACCTGCAGCCTCTCACTAAAGTGGTTGTTCATGTGTGAGCTTAAGACAGAAAACACAATCAAGCCCAAATCCTGACTTGACGTCCACTTTGCGCTCCGAGATGGTACTCTTCATGAAGGGCGCTACATAAATACAATTTATTGATGCAGTTTGCAACATTGATTACCCACTATTTTAGATTTTATAGAATGAGTTTAACAATAGCACTGATTTATTTTAAATTAGAACATTGTGTTGACTATGACATCTTCTCATCTTTCAAGTGGCACAGCTCCAACATATTTTTCAGTACTCACAGTTATTGGGGTTATCAAACTCTCCAACAGGACATATGTATGCTTTGCTATTTTGCTGCACAAGCCAAACTTTGTGGGGCTCCTTTGGGACTTTTTAATTTGCTGACGTACTGTAGTCTGTAAAATAAAAAGTCAATGTATTTGACTGCGTGCATCTCAAGCGTGTACTAGGTACAAAAATATACAGCGCTTTTATAATTACTAAAAACAAATACAGATAACAAGCAAATATTTATTCCATATGCTTTATACTGTAAAATAATACAGCAGGGTTGCTACAGTAACATTTCAGTGCTTTGTTTCTTTCATGCTCTGAGATGCTGCCTGCATGAAGAGCGTTATATAAATGCAAGTTAATGTCAACCAAGGATCGATGTATGCTTTTCAGTGCTTGTACATTCTGTACATTACTTAGTAACCTGAAAGAGGTGGAATTTTATATGAAAATACAATGTTCTTGCCTGCATTTATATCTGCACAGCAATGTACTCCATGGAAGTGAAATAGATGTATAACAACAGTAATCCTTACATTTGGTATAGTGCCTTTCACGTCAGGAGGATATCGCAAAGAGGTTCACAGGATATGCTGTAAAGTGCAGTGACTTGTGTGCTTTGTGGACGAACACGGCCGCCACTTTCCTCACACCAGTGTCCCACAAACAACCATAAAGTGAATGATCAATTTTATTTGGGGGGATTGTTGGCTAGGATACCAGGAGAAACTCCCTTAAAAACTTTATCTTCAAAGTTACACTGAGGCATCAAAGGGGCTCAGAGAAAAGCAACAGGATTGCTTCCAGGACTTGAAATTATCAAGAGAAGCTCATAGAATTGAATAAAGCAGTGGGTGAAGACTCAGGTGAAGTATAAAGACCAGCAAGGACTGATTGGGACGAGTTGCCTGTTTCTGTGCTGTGCAAGCTTTGATAAACGTGCATTTATACAGCGCCCTTCATGTGGCTAGCACCTCGGAGCGCTTACAATAATGGCATATCATAACTTCACAAATCCAAATACATTTAGTCTGGACGATAATTAACAAATATGAATCTACAAATAATGCCAGGCTGCTTACAGGAAGAGGAGCCTCAGAAAGAGCCAGCCATATTCTATTCATATTCCTGTTGATCCACTGGATTGAATCTGTAATTATGTAAAATTAAAAATAAATAAGGATATTCTTAATATTATGCATTCAGTAGTACCCATATGCATATATGCTAGTTGGTCTTGTTTACAAAATTTCCATGAATACATTTTACAGACATTATAAATAAAATGTGGGTTGGATTTTGTTGTAAAACAACTGCATTGTTCTTGCTGCAGAAGCAGTAGATTTATATAAATAAAAGGATCTCAGCTGGGGAATGGAGAGCTAGTGGAGCCAAGCAAGAATAAGGATAAAAGGCCCACAGAGCCTAGTATGGGAGAGCACATGGGCTGCAGAGTTCTGGGTTTCCTGCAGCTTGTCTGGAGAGGAGCAGAAAAGTCCAGTGAGCAGGATATTGGAATAGTGATGAAGGAACAAATAAGGATTTAGCAGCCCGATGGAAGGGATAAAAATGGAGGTAGGCAATGTTCTGGGGGTGAGGAAAGCTGAGCAAGTGAAAGCACGGACTCAGGGCTTGAAAGACAATTGAGGACAAACAAAACTTTGCACCAACTCCGCGAGATAGAGTCAGAGCCTGAGTTGAAAAGGTACTAATGGCAGCCAAACATGAGAACCTCACTCATTCTTGTTAAAATTCAACTGAAGAAATTTAGAGCTCACTGAGAATTGATGTTTGACAGAATCGAGGTTAGAGGCAGAGAGATATAGTTGGGTGTCACACGTCTAGATGTGGAAATAGACCCCATGACTGCAGATGATGTTACCAAGAGGGAGCATATGAATGGTGAAAAGGAGAGGACCAAGGATAGAGTCCTGAGGAAAACAGCAGGTGACTTGTGACAGGGTTGGAGAGGGCAATGGATGAGGCAAACTGAAGATTCTGGAATGGTCAGGACCAAAACTAGGAAAAGGCAGAACCATGAAGGTGGAGCAACACATTCATACTGGGATGTGTTGCCCACCACAAAGCTCTGAATTAGGTAAGCAGGATGCCTCCCTCCAGGGAGAGCGCGCGCATTCCATTCCAACAATCTTTCTCTGGCATTTCCATGTCTAGATGGGATGCATGGAAATCTGTTTGGTTGGATACTCTGAAGAATGGGCATGTGCCAGACACTCAGTCTACTCTCCGAATAAAGATGGAGCAGGAAGGAGAGACAGTGGAGAGGACTGGAGTGGTTGACTGTTTGAAGGTGGCAGAGTGGTCAAAGAGAATGAGGAGGAAGAGACTCTGGCTGTAGATAAGAGAGGAAGTTGGCAACCTTGACCAGGGTAGGTTTGGAGCTGTGGATGCGCTCAAGCAGAGAAAGCTAGGAATGGAAGGAGTGAAGCTGTATTGTAGCACCATGGAGAGGATAGGCAAGTTGCAGAGAGGTCGGTAGCTGAAGATCATGGAACTATCAAATGCAGTTTTACCATATATTTTATGAATACCCACTTAATAATGAGTTTTAGAGCTGGATTCCCACAAGACTATGAAGACTCCAGCATTGAATGAAATGCAGGGATCCTTCAACAGAAAACAAATGAACTCTAATCTTTTTAAAAAGCTGCATTCCTACTACATGCATTCACCTATGAGTTGTTTTCTTATGTCTCAAATCAAAGGTATTGGTGGATACCCACCATATCCAATTGGAGTCAAAGGTCCATTCTGCAACAGGTCACATTCAACCAGCAAAACAAAATCAACAAACTTTCTAATATTTTTTTCATAGCAAGATCAAATTATTTCATAGGGAACTTTGACTGGTTTAACCTATGCAGGTAACAGAAGTAATTGGTGCCATTATTTCTACTCCCAGCGTGCAGTAATCAAGATAGAACATAAATAGATATTGAGTATTGCAACAATTTAAGTCAATATTATGCGTTATGCAGTAACTAACAAGCTTTGATAGATACATGTAAAATATTGATTTTAAATATTGAAATCCATTTTTAAAAATTGGCCTTTTTTAATTTCAATATTGTTTCGAAAATAATTAAACATAAACTATACATTGACTTTACTGGTTCTGAGCTGGAGTCTATGCCTTCTTGCTGTAGTCCGTGACTATGTTAAACATTTATTGGGGTTTGGTTCTCTAATACTTATTGAGAGTCAATATGTTCTTTCTCCAATGTGAACATTCCCTGCTTCCTATAGCCTCGTCATGTAACTCAGGTATCTAATTCTAGCAATCAACACTGTTGACCTTCTCTGTATCTGCTCAAATGCAAAAATGTCCTCACTGATATGTGACTAGATTTGTATACACAGTACTCCAGGTGGATCCCGACCACCATTGCTCTGTAAAAGTTTTTCTGTGTCCTAACTTCAACTGCCCTTCATAGGAACCCATTCCAGGAGTTGATTATCTTCTGCTTAATCGCTATCAGGGAGAAGGACAAAACAAAAACAAGCTCCTAACCCAAATAATAACTTAAGCTTTCCCATTCTGATGCTGATTGACTTGCTGTAAATTGCCAGCATTTTGGTTTCATTTCAGATTTCTGTAATGCTGTAATGTAATGAATGTAATGCTGCTAATACAGCAATGTTTTATCCGAGCAATGCCACAATGTTTAGAAAAAATAAATCAAGAATACTTTATACGGGATTTTGCTTTCATAAACCACTGATTTTCTATGGGCACATTTACAGAACTCACAGGAAACAAACTGAAGTTTACAAACAGTAGTGAAACCTTACCGTTTGTGTGAGTGGTAGAACCCAGCAACACTTTGTGCTCCTCTGGCAACTCTAACCATAATCGGCATGCTTCCACTGAAGGTCGGCAATGGCTTCTGGTGTTGTAGACAGACTGGTAACGGGAATGAGAACGTATAGGGGGACGAGGCTGTACAGCTTTCAAATAATCAAAACTACTCATTGATGCCGCATCTAGAAATGAAAGTTAACAAAGAACAACTGTTGATACAGTGAGATTTTATGTACAATAACAACTACTTGCATTTATATAGCACTCTTCATGCGGGGTAGAGTCTCAGATCGCTTATGTACACACTATCTCTTTCTAACCTACAGATTTTTATTGCACTGACCTTGTAGTTGGATGGAATTTTAAATGTTGGGACCACAATTCATCTGTGATCCACACCACACTAGTTCAACTGGTGATCAGAGAGCATTTACAATCCAAAAGCCAGGTTCAGTGGCTGCTCATTGGCATTCAGCGCCTTGGGACATCCTCCCAACGTGAAAGGCACTTTCCAAGTGTAATTTTTTTGTTGTTGCTATATTTCTATTCTGGGCATTTTTCATGCAGCTACCTCAACTAGTTCATTAACAACTAAGTTTGTATAGCACCCCTCTCTCAGGGTAGGGTCCTAGAACGCTTGAAATTAATCCTTTGATTAACTCAAAGGACTCAGAGAAAGTACACATTACATACTCATTTACACAGAGCTTGGCCAACATTAAAATGCAAAATGTCATGATACCCTCATTATGAAGTTGCATATATGATGTACTTTGTGAGTCACCACAAAATGGTGTCATTTCTCTGGCTGCTTTCCTTTCTCTTCACCCTTTTATTTTGTCTTTTTTTTCTATTTTATGCTGCTGTTTTTATTCAGTTAGGTTGTGGGTGGATCAATTGTCACCCTTCCAATTGTAACAAAACCCTCACAGAAACAGACACAGAAACAGACGACAATGTGAAAAGAAAAATAAGTTAACAAAAACAGAAAGGAACAGAATTTTTAAATTGGAAGAATCTTTTTTCATAATACCCATTTTTGTATATATACATACACACACACAATCCAATTTACATTTATATAGTGTCTTTTCAGGAGGATGTCTCAAAGGGCCTCAAAGAGAATCCTGGCTGGGCACCTGAGCTGGGGGAGGCAGTCGGGGGTGGGGAAGGTAAAGAGAAAACGCAGTGAAATTGGTATACACCTTGAGACAATAATAAACATTTGTATAACGTCTTTCACATCCGGACATCCCAAGGCGCTGGACAGTCAAGGATTTGCACCCAAGCTGGGGTTGGGATCAGGAGAGGTGGAGGACAGAGAGGGTGGGGGTAAGAGGGCGACCGAAGACGCGGTTGAAGAGGAGGGTTTTGACACTGGCTTGAAGGAGGCAAGTGAGGGGGGGAGACTAAGGGAAAGTGGGATGGAGTTCCAAAGGATGGGTGGAGAGCAAGCCCTCCCACTGATGTGGGGCAGACTGGCCAGGGGCTAGTTTTCATAGAGTGAAGGGAATGGCAATGTCAGTAGTGTTGAAGGAGGTCAAAGAGATAGGGTGGAGCCAGGTTATGGATGAGAATGAGGATCTTCAACCTGATCCACTGGTGGATGGGTAGCCAATGGAGCTGCACATGGTGAGGTGTCGTGTTGATTCACGCAGGTGGATGCTCTCAGCGCCTAAGATGAGAAGGCACTGAGAGGAGATAACAGGAAAGCCATCTGTCTTGAAGAATGATAGAACTCATCCAGGACTTGAAATTTGATAGGCAATCAGACTGATCAGCTGTGGTCCTAGAATCAAGGTGAAGGCAGAGAGATAGAGTTGGGTGTCATCCACATACATATGGAAGAGAACCCCATGTCTGTGGATGGTGTTGCTGAGTGGGAGCATACAGACACTGAAGAGGATATACAGATACACACCACAACTACCATACACAACACAAGCAATTCACAGTAAGCACATTCTACTCACAATGTACTATGTATAGGAATGTCTGAAGAAGTGTCCTTTCTCCCCATGAAATCTAACTGATTCAGAACTCAGTCACAGTATTCTCAGCTGTACCAAACTCCACAACCATCAACCCAGTCTTTGCCAGGCTCCCGATTGAGGAACAATCAATTCATGCCCTAGCGCCCCCCTCTCTCTCGCCAACCTGCTTATACCCAACTGCTGTCCCTTTCGCTAAGCTGCTCTGGACTACTTCAAAACACTTATTCCCCCTCTACAACTTTGGTGGCTGTGCTTTCAGCCACTTCGCCCTGAAATCTGGACATCTGCATCAATCCCTCCGCCTTGGCAAGTTGTTGTTGTTGTAATTCCTCTACTGCTGCACCAGCTAAGATTAACTGTCTCAACACGGGTCATTAATTCAATCTGAGACCTTCTTGGACCGCAGAATCCTTTTTTGGCAGGAACCCTGAAGCTCATTGGTAAATTTACCAACTTTGGCAAGAAATAGAATCATATTTCTTGTTGTTCAACTTTTTTTTTAAAAAAGCAATGGAAATGTGATAAAATCCCATGATACACTCACTCATATGTCAAGATTGGTAAATTTACTTACCAGTGGAGACTCAAGAAACATTTGCCAGTTAAGGTCAGTAAATATATCAAAGAACTCAGTGACTTTCTAGGTTTGAAACTCCAGTACAGTGCTGGCTAAGTTCTGCATTATCAGAAGTATGTACCCACAACATACACAGTTAAATCACTTGACAGTATATGCTGTGAAACTCTTTGTGGCTCTTCGACGACATGATAAGTCACGATATCAAATGCAAGGATTATTATCATTAGTATTATTATAAGTACACTGGATGGGCTGCGATCCCGTCTGCCTATTTGAAAGAATCCCTGACACCATTTGGAAAAGAGAAGGGAATTTATCTTGGCGTTCAGGTGACAGTGCCTCTCCCTACCCCCTCCCCGGTCTATCACACCCTACACCACCCCTTCTCATCAACACTGCCCCCTCCTACCACCCTCTCAGTGACACTCTCCCCATTGTAAGTGACACTTATTTGGTCAGCTTAGTGTCTGGTCTGCCATTCCAGGTCCTCCCCTTAAGGCACTGCCATCAACAGTGCCCTGGAATACTCTGGAACCAGACGACCGAGATCCCCACGGAGGGCTGGCTCGATCCCGGCATCCGTTGCCAGGCACGTCACTTTGGAGCCAGTTCAGCTCCCGCTTACCTCCCCGCCTGAGGAGGATAGTCACTAGTTGGTCGTTGGACATCCGACAAGCGCGAGTTTTGAGCCGTGATTCGGTGGATAACAGATACAAGGAACTCCCTGTGAGCTTCCTGGTGGGCAATGCATCTCAATGACATGTTCTGTCCGCTCTCAGTGATTCTCTCCCCCACGCTCTCAGTGATTCTCTCCCCCACGCTCTCAGTGATTCTCTCCCCCACGCTCTCAGTGTCTCTCCCCCACGCTCTCAGTGATTCTCTCCCCCACCTCTCAGTGATTCTCTCCCCCCCGCTCTCAGTGATTCTCTCCCCCACGCTCTCAGTGATTCTCTCCCCCACGCTCTCAGTGTTCTCTCCCCCCCCCCCCCACGCTCTCAGTGTTCCTCTCCCCCACGCTCTCAGTGTTCCTCTCCCCCACGCTCTCAGTGATCCTCTCCCCCACGCTCTCAGTGATCCTCTCCCCCACGCTCTCAGTGATCCTCTCCCCCACGCTCTCAGTGATTCTCTCCCCCCCCCCCCCCCCCCCCCCCCCCCCCCCCCCCCCCACGCTCTCAGTGACTCTCTCCCCCTCAGTGATTCTCTCCCCCGCCTCAGTGTCTCTCCCCCTCTCTCAGTGACTCTCTCCCCACGCTCTCAGTGTCTCTCCCCCCCCCTCTCAGTGTCTCTCCCCCACGCTCTCAGTGTCTCTCCCCCACGCTCTCAGTGTCTCTCCCCCACGCTCTCAGTGACTCTCTCCCCCACGTTCTCAGTGACTCTCCCCCACGCTCTCAGTGTCTCTCTCCCACGTTCTCAGTGACTCTCTCCCCTGTCGTTCTCAGTGACTCTCTCCCCTGTCGTTCTCAGTGACTCTCTCCCCTGTCGTTCTCAGTGACTCTCTCCCCTGTCGTTCTCAGTGACTCTCTCCCCTGTCGTTCTCAGTGACTCTCTCCCCTGTCGTTCTCAGTGACTCTCTCCCCTGTCGTTCTCAGTGACTCTCTCCCCTGTCGTTCTCAGTGACTCTCTCCCCTGTCGTTCTCAGTGACTCTCTCCCCTGTCGTTCTCAGTGACTCTCTCCCCTGCCGTTCTCAGTGACTCTCTCCCGTCGTTCTCAGTGACTCTCTCCCCTGTCGTTCTCAGTGACTCTCTCCCCTGTCGTTCTCAGTGACTCTCTCCCCTGTCGTTCTCAGTGACTCTCTCCCCTGTCGTTCTCAGTGACTCTCTCCCCTGTCGTTCTCAGTGACTCTCTCCCCTGTCGTTCTCAGTGACTCTCTCCCCTGTCGTTCTCAGTGACTCTCTCCCCTGTCGTTCTCAGTGACTCTCTCCCCTGTCGTTCTCAGTGACTCTCTCCCCTGTCGTTCTCAGTGACTCTCTCCCGTCGTTCTCAGTGACTCTCTCCCCTGTCGTTCTCAGTGACTCTCTCCCCTGTCGTTCTCAGTGACTCTCTCCCCTGTCGTTCTCAGTGACTCTCTCCCCTGTCGTTCTCAGTGACTCTCTCCCCTGTCGTTCTCAGTGACTCTCTCCCCTGTCGTTCTCAGTGACTCTCTCCCCTGTCGTTCTCAGTGACTCTCTCCCCTGTCGTTCTCAGTGACTCTCTCCCCTGTCGTTCTCAGTGACTCTCTCCCCTGTCGTTCTCAGTGACTCTCTCCCCTGTCGTTCTCAGTGACTCTCTCCCCTGTCGTTCTCAGTGACTCTCTCCCCTGTCGTTCTCAGTGACTCTCTCCCCTGTCGTTCTCAGTGACTCTCTCCCCTGTCGTTCTCAGTGACTCTCTCCCCTGTCGTTCTCAGTGACTCTCTCCCCGCTCTGTGACACACACCCCTCCAAGTGATACCTTAACCACACTCCAAGTGCCACTCCCCCCACAGCTCTTAATGACACTCCCCCACAGCTCAGTGACTCTCACCCCCACTCCTCTCAGTGACTTTTACCCCCACCCCCACAGCTCTCAGTGACACTCCCCCCCCCACACACCCCCACAACTCTTGGTGACACTCCCCCCCCCACCCCTTAAGCTATCAGTGACACTCCCCCCACCCCCACAGCTCTGTGACACTCCCCCCCACCCCCACAGCTATCAGTGACACTCCCCCCCACCCCCACAGCTCTCAGTGACACTCCCCCCACCCCCACAGCTCTCAGTGACATTCCCCCAACCCCCACAGCTCTCAGTGACACTCCCCCCCCACCCCCACAGCTATCAGTGACACTCCCCCCCACCCCCACAGCTCTCAGTGACACTCCCCCCACCCCCACAGCTCTGTGACACTCCCCCCCCCCACCCCCACAGCTCTCAGTGACACTCCCCCCCCCACCCCCACAGCTATCAGTGACACTCCCCCCCACCCCCACAGCTCTCAGTGACATTCCCCCACCCCCACAGCTCTCAGTGACACTCCCCCCCCCCACCCCCACAGCTCAGTGACACTCCCCCCCCACCCCCACAGCTCAGTGACACTCCCCCACACCCCCACAGCTCAGTGACACTCCCCCCCCACCCCCACAGCTCAGTGACACTTCCCCCCACCCCCACAGCTCAGTGACACTCCCCCCCCACCCCCACAGCTCTCAGTGACACTCCCCCCCACCCCCAACAGCTCAGTGACACTCCCCCCCACCCCCAGTGACCCCCTCACCTGTCCGGTGCTCGGCCTCTCGGGTGCGGCCGAGGCTCGGGCTGTGGGCCGGGGTCGGGCCTATCAGCCCCGCGGCCCTCAGCAAACAGCGGGACTCGGGGCGGCGGAGCAGCGGCCTCATGGCGGCGGCTCACACCGCGGCCGCTCCCTGTGCCCGTCACTGCGGCAGCTCCGGGGGTGTGCACAGGGGGTGTGTGTATACAGTCAGTGTGTGTAGGTCGTGTATATAGAGTCTGTGTGTACAGTATATATACAGTGTGTGTGTGCAGTGTGTACACTGTGTGTGTGCAGTGTGTAGTCTGTGTGTGCACTGTGTGTGTGCACTGTGTACACAGTCTGTGGTGTAGTTTCTGTTTTCTTGTTTATGTTTTTCAGCGCTGTCATCCGGGTCATCAGAGGGCGGAGCGAATAACACACCCGCCCCCAATACACCCCATAAACACCCGCCCCCAATACACCCCATAAACACCCGCCCCAATACACCCCATAAACACCCGCCCCAATACACCCCATAAACACCCGCCCCAATACACCCCATAAACACCCGCCCCCAATACACCCCATAAACACCCGCCCCCAATACGCCCCATAAACACCCGCCCCAATACACCCCATAAACACCCGCCCCAATACACCCCATAAACACCCGCCCCCAATACACCCCATAAACACCCGCCCCCGATACACCCCATAAACACCCGCCCCCGATACACCCCATAAACACCCGCCCCCAATATACCCCATAAACACCCGCCCCCAAGACACACCGTAAACACCCGTCCCCAAGACACACCGTAAACACCCGCCCCAAGACACACCGTAAACACCCGCCTCAACACCCCCCCCATTCACACACCGTAAACACCCGCCACCAATACACACCGTAAACACCCGCCTCAACACACCCCCACATACGGTAAACACCCGCCTCAATACACACCCCACACACACAACGTAAACACCCACCTCAATACACACTCACACACACTGTAAACACCCGCCTCAATACATCCCCTCACACATACACTGTAAACACCCACCTCAATACACACCCTACACACAAAACGTAAACACCCACCTCAATACACACCCTACACACAAAACGTAAACACCCACCTCAATACACCCCACACACACACTGTAAACACCCACCTCAATACACCCACGCCCACACACCGTAAACACCCACCTCAATACAGCCCCCCCCACACACCGTAAACACCCATCTCAATACACCCCCCCCCACACACTGTAAACACCCACCTCAATACACCCCCCCACACACCATCAACACCCATCTTAATACACCCCCCCTGCACACCGTAAACACCCGCCTCAATACACCCCCCACACACACACCATAAACACCCACCTCAATACACCCCACACACCGTAAACACCCGCCTCAACACCCCCCCCCACACACACACCGTAAACACCCACCACCAATACACACCGTAAACACCCGTCTCAACACACACACACACACCCCACACACCGTAAACACCCGCCCCCAATACACACCGTAAACACCCACCTCAACGCCCCCCCCACACACACCGTAAACACCCGCCCCCAATACACACCGTAAACACCCGCCTCAACACACCCACAGACACCGTAAACACCCGCCTCAATACACACCCCACACACACAACGTAAACACCCACCTCAATACACACTCCCACACACACACCATAAACACCCGCCTCAATACACACCCCACACACACAACGTAAACACCCACCTCAATACACTCCCACACACACCATAAACACCTACCTCAATATACCCCCCCACACACACCGTAAACACCCACCTCAATACACCCCACACACCGTAAACACCCACCTCAATACACACTCACCACACCCCCAACACACACACCGTAAACACCCACCTCAATACACCCCCCAGACACACACCGTAAACACCCACCTCAATACACACTCCCACACACACACCGTAAACACCCATTTTAATACACCCTCCCGCACACCGTAAACACCCACCTCAATACACCCCCCCCACACACCGTAAACACCCACCTCAATACACCCCCCACACACACCGTAAACACCCACCTCAATACACCCCCACACACACCGTAAACACCTCAATACACCCCCCCACACACCGTAAACACTCACCTCAATTCACCCCCACACACACTGTAAACACCCACCTCAATACCCTCCCCCACACACATTGTAAACACCCACCTCAATACAACCCCCCACACACACCATAAACACCCGCCTCAATACACACCCCACACACACAACGTAAACACCCACCTCAATACACTCCCACACACACCATAAACACCTACCTCAATACACCCCCCCACACACACACCGTAAACACCCACCTCAATATACACCCCCCCACACACCGTAAACACCCACCTCAATACACACTCCCACACACACACACCGTAAACACCCACCTCAATACACCCCCCACACACACCGTAAACACCCACCTCAATACACACTCCCACACACACTGTAAACACCCACCTCAATACAAACCCCCCCACACACCGTAAACACCCACCTCAATACACCCCCACACACACACCGTAAACACCCACCTCAATACACCCCCACACACACCGTAAACACCTCAATACACCCCCCACACACCGTAAACACTCACCTCAATTCACCCCCCACACACACTGTAAACACCCACCTCAATACCCTCCCCCACACACATTGTAAACACCCATCTCAATACACCCCCCCACACACACTGTAAACACCTGCACCTCAATACACCCTCCCACACATACACTGTTAACACCCGCCTGAATACACCCCCCACACACTGTAAACACCGACACATCAGTACACCCACAAACACACTGTAAACACCCACAACTCAATACACCCACCCACACACTGTAAACACCCACACCTCAATACACACACACTGTAAGCACCCACACTTCAATACACCCACACACACACTTCAAACACCCACACCTCAATACACCCACCCACACACTGTAAACACCCACACCTCAATACACCCACACACACACTGTCAACACCCACACCTCAATACACCCTCCCCCCACAAACACTGTAAACACCCGCACCTCAATACACACCCCCCCCACACACTGTAAACACCCACACCTCATTACACACACACAATGTAAACATGCACACCTCAATACAACCACACACTCTGTAAACACCCACACCTCAATATACCCACACACTCTGTAAACACCCACACCTCAATACACCCCCCCACACACACTGTAAACAGCCACACCTCAATACACCCCCACACACACTATAAACCACCACACCTCAATACACCCACACACACAGTGTAAATACCCACACCTCAATACACCCACACACACAGTGTAAACACCCACACCTCAATACACCCACACACACAGTGTAAACATCCTCACCTCAATACACACACACACACTGTAAACACCCACACCTCAATACACCCACACACACAGTATAAACACCCGCACCTCAATACACCCACACACACTTTAAACACCCACACCTCAATACATCCCCCCCCACACACTGTAACCACCCACACATCAATACACCTCACGCACACTGTAAACAGCCACACCTCAATACACCCACACACACAGTGTAAACACCCACACCTCAATACACCCACCTCAATACACCCACACACACAGTGTAAACACCCACACCTCAATACACCCACACACACAGTGTAAACACCCTCACCTCAATACACACACATACACACTGCAAACACCCACACCTCAATACACCCCCACACACACTGTAAACACCGACACATCAGGACACCCACATACATACTGTAAACACCCACAACTCAATACACCCACCCACACACTGTAAACACCCACACCTCAATACACCCACACACACACCGTAAACACCCGCCTCAATACACCCTCCCACACATACACTGTAAACACCCGCCTCAATACACCCCACACACACACCGTAAACACCCACCTCAATACACACCTCCACACACACCGTAAACACCCACCTCAATACACACCTCCACACACACCGTAAACACCCACCTCAATACAACCTCCCAACACGCACTGTAAACACCCACACCTCAATACACACACACACACACTGTAAACACCCACACCTCAATACACACAAACTCTAAACACACACCTCAATATACACACACACACACACTATAAACACCTACACCTCAATACACACACACATACACTGCAAACACCCACACCTCAATACACCCCCCCCCCCCCCCCACACACACACACACACTAAACACACTCACACTGCAATACAACTAAGCTAAGAGACAACTTTCTTCAGCTCAATGTGCACAAAACTGAGGCTCTCCTGATTGGGTCGCGTCAGCGCCTCCGCACCTCAGGCGCTGACAGCATCAGCATCCAAGGCTGCACTCTCCACCTCTCAGAGCCAGTCAGGAACCTCGGGGTTCTGTTCGACCCTGAGCTGTCCTTTCTCCCTCATATCCGCGCCACAACTGGCACCGCCTTCCATCACCTCCGGAACATCGCCAGACTACGGCACTACCTCACCCCTCACGCTGCTGAAACCCTGGTTCACGCCTTTATCACCTCAAGGCTGGACTATGGGAACTCTCTCCTCGCCGGCCTTCCCGGCACCTCCCTCCACAAGCTGCAGGTCATTCAGAACTCTGCAGCTCGTGTACTGTCCCGCACCAGGCTTCGGGACCACATCACTCCCACCCTCGCTCCCCTCCACTGGCTCCCCATCCCCCAGATGATTGAATTCAAGATCCTCATCCTCACCTACAAGGCCATTCACGGCCTCGCTCCCTCCTACCTCTCTGACCTACTATCCCCCTACTTACCTGCCCGTACCCTCCGTTCCTCTGGCTCCGGTCTGCTCCACGTCCCCCGCCCCAACCGCCCTACCATCGGTGGCCGGGCCTTCAGCCTCTCAGCCCCGAGGCTCTGGAACTCTATCCCCCAGTGCCTTCGCCTTGCTTCCTCCCTTTCCTCCTTCAAGGCCGGTCTCAAGACCTTTCTCTTTGACCGTGCCTTCAGCTCCCCTCTCGACTCTCTACCCCCTCCTCGCTCCCTCCCTTCCCTCCCCT